CATAAGAGAATATTTATGCAGCTTGAGAGGTGGGATTTTAAACGCTTTGGAAAAGAGTAGTGTGGTCAAGAGTGACACTGAAAATCAACAGTACTTTGCTACCATGTTTTCAGTTTTAAGGTGATTCCCTACACAGTTACAAAATATGGTTCATTTATACATTATAATTGCATTTCCAAACTGTTGTCTAATACAGATCTTGATAATTACATTTGTTACGCTACTGGATTGGGTAACATCCATCATCCTGATGGATGAGCATTAAGAATGGTTAAACCTGGAATCTTCAGATGGATGCAACATAGACTGTAGAATACATATATTTATCCACAGATATATGATTGTATGATTCTAGAAATTTTTTCCCTTTGTAGTAGGGTTGTATGTTTTGGGGTTTTATTTCTGCATACTGACTTACTTGGAAGCTCCAGATGTCTGTGGCTTCCTCTGAGACCTCACCTGAAGAACAGCATCCAACTCCAGGGCCCTCACCAGAAGAAAGCCATGGAACTGTTGGGATGGGTCCAGGGGAGAGCCACAAAAAATCCTCAGAGGTCTGCAACACCTCCCTTATGAAGAAAGGCTGCTAGAATTTGTGTTGTTCAGCCTAGAGAAGTGAAAGTTCCTGCAGTCTTTCAATACTTAAAAGGGATGTATAAGAAATATGTGGACAGACTTTTTACCAGGCAATGTAGTGATAAAAGAAAGGGGTAACAGTTTTGACTACAGATCAGTAGATTTAGATCAGATGTAAGGAAGAAGTTCTTTACAATAAGAGTGGTGAGAGGCTGGACCAGGTTGCCCAGAGAAACAGTGGATTCTTCATCACTGGGAATGTTCAAGGTTAGATTGGATGGAGGGGAAGAGTAACCTGGTTTACTTAAAGATGTCCTTGCCAGTGCTGTGGGGGTTGGACTATGGATGACCTTTAAAGGCCCTTCCCAAGCCAAACTACTCTTTGATTCTTGAGTGCCCAAGTGAGGATTCAAGGATCTGTGTTAGTGGACTCAAGTGAGAGTATAGGATTCATCACTGGCAAGCTAAGGATATTTGAGGTCAACTGAGAATGAAACTCCAGGATTTAGAACCCCACATGGAGTGTTTTTTTGAAGGGAAACAGAATCCAGCAGCTAAGCCAACAAAACAGGCATGAACTCATGCCTAGTTTAATTTTTACTGTAGAAGCTTAAAATTAAATCAGTGGTTCCACAGTGGTCCAACAGTATGATCAGAAAACCTGCTGTGGAAAGCTTGGGGAAGTAAATTTTAATGAGCATGATTTCTTCAACAGTCTTGTGACAATCTGTTACAAGAAAATGACCAATGAAAGTCTTAATAACTTTTAAATTATTGGATTAAAACTTGGAAAAGACTAATGATTAAGAAAGGGGAGAGAGCAATCAGCAGGAAAACAAATACAAAACAAACCAACAAAAATTCCCCAAGGTTTTATTGCAAAATTAGGCTTTTAAATGTTTGTATCCAGCACCTTTCCATTGGGAGGCCTCTGTCACTGCTCCCTGAGGACTTGAGGCTGATAGTCCCAATATGCATCTCTGGGAGGAGGGGTCAGCTCCTTTCCTAAGATGGCAAAATAGGGTGTTACTACCTCCTGGAAAAGAGAACAGTATGGTTTTATTTTCATCATGATATCTGCTTTTGTAATCCCTCTATGCTCTAAGCAAAGCCAAACAGCTTTTACTTTTTTCATAAAATGGGATTGAAATGCATGGGCATGAAGGGGGTGCTCTTAGGAGGCAGATGATGAAATAACCTGCTAACATCATCATAAAAGCAATGCTGCTGCAGGAACCTGAAAAGACACCCTGGGTAGATTTGTTATCATAGCTTCCAGTTTTGATGAGAGAGACATACAAAAATAAGACAAAGGATTTTGGGTTTCTGATCACATGGCTGCTCTGAAGAGCTGAAGAGATCAGGTTGAACCCACCATGAGTGGGACAATGATTTCAGCCACTTGTGAAAGACTTGTATTTTTGTCTCTTGTATTCTCAGGTATTCTATGTCAAAAAAAAAAAAAAAAAAAAAAAAAAAAGGAAAGACACTTAGGCAGCAGAGTGATCTTTAACTCAGTCCCTTTGAGTCTAAAACCTGATGACTTGTCCCAAAAATTTAAGAACAACCTTCCCCCTAGACACCTCTGGATGTCTCCAGAGGATATTCCTTTTCCCCTCCAGAGGGGTGAGAGGGAGGTAAACAGAACACTCAAATAGACTTGCCCTAAACATTACTTTTGTACATTGTGTTACTACTCTTGAGAGGTATTGCTAAGAAATGGAGTTTAAAAACTGGGGAAAAGTTTGCAGCTTTAACAACAATATTTATAGTCTTCAAATTTATTTGAAGCTTTGTGAAATGCATCTGGGCAAATGACTGTCCCGGCCTAAGGCAACAGCTAATATTGTGCTTTGAGTGGAAGGTTAGTGGTCAGGCTTAGACAGTTGGGCAGGGGGTTTACAGGATTTCATACTGCAGACTGTATATGCATATGAGGGAGAAAAAACCCACATTTCCCTGCCTCCTTGAAGATCCATGTCCATCTCCTCATTTGATTCAGTTCAGCCAGCTGTCTGTAGGCAGTTCTGAGCATTAAAGCACTGAAGCCCAGCAGCTGCAGAAGTCACACAGGTGGCTGTCCTAGGTTAGGAGCAGCCAGCCAAGAGCAAAGGGCTCTCAGCAGAGCTGCCAAGGCCCGTAAATGAAAATGGAGCAGCCAGAGGCCCAACCTTCAGGGAGCCAAGCAGCTACAAGAGCATTGCTTCACATGGCAGTTTATTGGCCAAAAATCCTAGCTTTCACTTACTTTCACTGAGATGATGGGAAAAATTCTACTCTGGAAATTAGTTCCTTAGAGAAAAAAGACTATGAACTGTTATAGTTAAAGAATAACTGTAACAGTCAGTTACTATCACTCTTTATCTACCTGGTCAGATTTTTGTTCTCTCTTACCAAAAAAAGCAAAACACAAAAAAAACAAAACCAAACCAAAACAAAACAAAAACCCCAAGAAATCTTCTTGTTCTGTTTGATTCATGTTTGCATCTTACTTATGCCTCTGCTTTTGAAATAGTAAAGTTCTTTATAATTTTTCCAGTTGTCCAGGTGTGGCCTAAAGTCACCACATTTGGAGCAACTCCCTTCAGTTTGAGCCCAGACCTTGTTGCTGCCAGTCACATCCTGGCAGGAGGGTTACTCTGGAACAACAGCAGCAGTGTTTCAATGAAATGACTAAACTTTTCTTTTTCCAGAGGATCCCTGCTACCACTGGTATGTAGGATGGAGAATGTGAAGTCTGAGGATATTCTAAGGCAGTGTAGTCTACCTCATTAGTTTGGAAATGAAGCAAACAAAGAGATTCTAGCAAGAAAAAAATGACAGTATATTAAAATAACTAAATACCACTCCAGACTCAACAGGCTCCTTGTCTCTGAGCAATTATGAATAAAGCTGGGTACTTTGGATGAAACTTAATTTAGACTGCATTTTCACAGTCACTTCAAGCTAATCTAAATTGGCACAGATTATGAAAGGAGGAATCTTGCCTGCCTGTCTGTCTCTGGCAAAGCTACTCCCTCATTTTTCCTCTCTTCTCGCCCCTTCACACACAGAGCAGCTTTATTTGTCTCTGTGTGGCATGGAGTGGGGCAAGCACCTTGCCCAGAGGGACAGCCCTGCTGCTCCCAAACACACTTTGAGCCTCCCCATGCCCCCATCCAAGTTACAGCCATCCTGACTACAAGTGGGAAATACTCCATGAACGACAGGGAAAGATTTTGCTAAGCCAGATAGGTTTCCTGACTTGGGGGAGGGTGGGAGGGTGGTGCAGTGATGTTTCAAGCTGCAATGATAGTACAGTGACATACCTCGAGTACTGTGAAACAGGGCACTAGTCAAGATATTTCAAGTGGACTGGAAATTCCTAGAGCAGGCACTAACTAATTCCCGCACTTGCTACTTTAACACTATTTTATATTATTGCTGTGTAACATATTAACTTTTAGAGGTCACAGCCCATCAGCCCTGATATGCTGGTGACTTGTCCAAGTAAATATAGGCAAGCAAAACACTGTTCTAGCCATGGAGGAAAAAAAGGCTCTTTTTCCATATTTTTTTTAAATTGTCTGTCTGGCCTATTAAGATAGCAACACCCTTCTCTCCCTGTTTGTCTTTGAATACCATGAGACGTTTGCATCAGTTACTGCTTTGGAGTTCTTAATCCTATGTCAGGGACCCCAAGCTGAATGTAGCAAATGTAGGCACAGTATGTGCTTGCATATGTACACCTACTTCTAGTTTTCCTGAAGTGCAATCTCAATGCCACAGCTAAAATCTATTAAAGGTTGTTTAAAGGTAATTGCACAAGACAAAACACAACCCAAATGCAGCAGCCTCATCTGGAATTCTTAAAAAAAATTCCAAATAGGGGAGCAGTGAACAAAAGGTCCCGTGGGATAATTTCTGTGGTCATGTGCTCATTTTGCAGGAAGCTGAGTTTTTCCTTCATTAGAGGAGTTGAACGACTGTGAGTCAATCACTCAGGTGCAAACATTTTTGAGATCTGCTTTTCACTGGCAGATATGCCAAAGGTTCTCATATAAACAAGCACTGTTTACAGACACCTTCTCAGCAGTGGCACTATATTGTTAAACATTAATTCTTATGTGTATGTTGTGCAACACTTACACATATTATTTGGCTCTGTTAGCAATTTGAAAGGCAACTTTCAGTAATTTAGGAGCAAAGCATAGGTTTGGGAGAGTTTCCTACACAAAATATAGGAATAAATACCTTAGTGAGTAAGCAATTTCTATTGGTTTTATTTATTTAGTAAAAGAGCCCTGAGGTTTGTTTCACAGTGAATGTTTAAAAGGAGAGCCAAAAAAGACCTTGACAATTGGTCCTAACTGGTATATTTGCATTCTGAGAGTGGAAGAGAGCAGGCACACAAGCGGTAAAAGGGAGTTGGCAAAAATGGCTGGGGAAATAATGTCAAGATTTGGAATCATTTCTGGAGAGATAAACAAGTAAGTGCACTATTTTTACTGAAAGGTTCCTGTGGATATTGGCAGTGGTGAGACCTCTCTGTTCCACCTGTTGGTGGAGAAGAAAAAGAAACATTCTGCAGAGAGAAGAGAGAGAATGCAAAACACCTGTTTGCCAGGGAGTCTGCTGCAATAATCACAGTGTCACAGGGTTTTCTCTGTGTTTTAAAGGATAAGGAAGTGAATAGAAACTCCAAAAGGGACTCAAGAAGAAAAAAATGAGGATTTACCTGCTTGTCATCAGGCAATTCTGCCTGGCCTATAGTGACAGCTTGGGAGAGATGGTTGAACAAGTGCACCTCACTGTACACACAGAGTTTTTGGATGGAGTGTTTTTTGGGGTGAGGGTAATTTTGCAGTTTGATTAAACTATGTTAATTTAGAGTGTTTTAATAGAATCATAAAGTAGTTTGGGTTGAAAGTGATCTTTAAAGTTTGTCTGATCCAACCTACCTGCACAATAACTAGACCAGGTTGCACAGAGCCCCATCTAGCCTGGCCTTGAATGTTTCCAGGGATGGGCATCCTGTTCCAGGGTTTCACTGCTGTCATTATAAAATTCATTAGCTGTGAAGTGAGCCCACCAGCCTGTCAATAGAGTACAACACTCTTTAGCAGCTGCAATAACTTACTGCTTGCTATTTTAGGTATGTTCTGCTCTTTGCTTAACTGAAGTTGTAACCACTAAGAAAAACTTCTAATTTGCTGTCTTTGGTTGTCAGTGTAACCCTGGGTTGCTCTTTTCCTTATCTAGAGGCTTTCAGGGAAAGTAGAGTTATCTGTTAGGAAGTATTACACTTGCTATCATTACCTCTTGGTGAAAGGTTTAATTTTTAATTTCCCAGGAAAATGGGGATACCCTTAGACCTTGTCTGTGGGAAAACAAGTCAGTGACCATGAGAAAGCATACATACACACAGAGTACAGGAATGACAACATGTGTTAACACTTTCATGTAAGGAGATTCTAGTAGGCAGAGGTATCTAGAATATGCATTTGGAATATCTCATTCAGTGAAGGACAGCACAGAGAACAGGGAATTCAGCATGTGTCCTGGAGTCAGAGCTGATTTGTATTTTTAGACTCTAAATCAGAGTGTGCCTGTACAATGGTGCCATTTCAGTATCCAATTAAGAGCCTGATTTCTCATTGTGACATTTTTCAAAATGCCCATGGAAGGGATAAATCACCTACCTACATCCAAAGTCAGGAAGAATTCCTTTGAGAGTCACAGTGACTCAGGAACAGCCGAGCTCTGCCAAACTGGAACAAGTTCAAAGCAAGTGCCGCCTATGATCAATTCATTACATAAACCTCAGATAAGGGAGTGGCAAAAAACTTTCCTGCCACCAACCATGAAAACAGTTAAGGGGAAACAAGCCACCCACCACCTGGGTTTTAACAATCTACTCAATCTTGGTAGTGTAAGGGCCCCAATGTGTCTGGTAGTAAGCACAGGAGAAATCAGAACCAGAGTAAGCTGCTGTTCTGAGCTATAATGCCATTTTTTCTAATATCTCGAGGCACAGACAGCAGCTGCAGTTAAGTAGATAGCCTTAGGAAATAGCTTCTTAATACAAGAAAGCAGGAGAAAAGTAATTCTATTTCCTCACATTCTTTTTGCAGTCACTGTTGCTCAATGGAATTGAGCATGGAATTCCCATGAAATGTTATAATAAAAAACAACCCTGTGTAGCAAGGGCCTAAAGAAGTAAAAAAAAAAAACCCAAAACTGGTCTTCAAGCAAGTCCTACACAGGTTTCCATGAACCAATGAGTTTCTTCAGTCATCAAAATACTGGGCACACATGGAGAATCCTGCTGCCTCAGGGCTGGTAGAGCCTCTGAGAACAGGTCTCAGCAGAAACTAAGTGCAAAACAAAATTTGAAGCTGTGTCTCATACTAAATCTGTTATAATTCAGTACTTGTACATATGTTCAGCATGTGTACATAATGGTATAAATGACCAGGACACAGTTAGTTTGCATGCTGTGCAAGAAAAAAATTAAAATCCATGTGGGAGAAGAAAAGAGCTTATGACCATGGTTTAAGCACAAGTCTTGTAACACTTCAGCATGTCCTGGAGAATTTCTGGTTGGAGTAATTAGCAGAAAGCATTTATTTGTTCAAATAAGTTTGCATTTGGCAAGTTTTTATAGACCACATGCCAAAAGGTTCCAAAAATTTTTTCAACAGCCACAAACATGAGAAAAAGGTAAGGTACACCTGTCCTTGTCAATGTGTGAAGGGAATATAGAGAAAAAAGCTCATAAAAATGCTTAAGCAGGTAACTTCATAAGACACTTATGCCTCTGCTATTGAAATACTGAAGACCAAAACTTCCCAAGGATTAAGTAGGAATTTCTGAGATACATCCAGAATTAAGCAATGAAAATCTAATGAAAGGCAATCTGACAACATCCCCAAAATCTTAAACCTTCCAGGGATAAAGTTTAGCTTCTTTTAGGATTTCATAAAAGCAGTTGGATGGGAGCCATTTCTCCCTCCAAGATGTTATTTTTTCATGACAAGAACAATTAAGTATATTTTACTCCATTTTCTCTAGGGACTGGGTTGTTGCAGAAAGCAACACACCCAGCTCTGGGCAGGAGAACTCTCCAGGACAAAGGCTGTGCCCAGCAGCTTCCCATGAGGTGGCACAACATGAAATCCAGGGCTGTCCTGTTTAGCAACTCAGGAAAAGGAGAATAAGGACTTTTATAACTTTTTGAGTAAAACTTAACTCTTATGGGTATCTATTCTCTGATAGGAATATACCTTTTATTACTTGAATTCAAGTCCTTTTCTCACATGTTGTACGAGATGCATGTTTTACAGAACTACATAAGAAATCCCACCCTAAGGCAGACACACTTGCACAGGGAACATCCAGTTCCATTCAGTGTCTGCACCAGGGAAAATATACTGACCTCATCCAGAAGGAAAGGAAAGTTTGTGTGTAAACAGAACCTGAATAGGATCTTCCTAAAGAGTTTGGCTGAGAAGTCTGAATAACCAACAAAATGATTCCTCATAGGCAAAATGTATTCTGTGTTTGGGAAATGACCCAACAATTTTCCATATTACCATGGTAATTTTTCATCATCCATATTAAAATGTCTTTGCAAACTCTTATCACCCTCACATCAGGGGTCAGAAGCAGTGCTTAAATTGCAAAACATCTTTCTCATAAATCTCATTTAGGTACAAAATACTTTATAAACAAAAACCATGGTTAGTCTCTGCAGTATAAGTTAGTCTAGAAGACTGTAGGAATTTCACATGCCCTAGAAATAATTAATCTGGCAATGTCTTTATTCTGTCTTTGCAATTCCTTCGCAGCCAGGTTCAGGCCAGGACAACAGACAGGGCTTAGCCTGACATAGAAGAATTCTCCATTTAAATGATCTAAGTCAGATCAACAACAACCTAAAGATCCAAGCAAACAAAAAAACCCTAAACATACTAAAAACCAACCAATGAACCAAACAAAACCCCAAACAATTTTGTCAGAACAGCCATATTAGCTCCAACTAAAAATCTACCTACAGTGAGAATCTGGAAAAGTAAGATGAGAATGAAAGGTAAAAAATTTTAGGTGCCTTAATAAATTTTCAGCTAGATAATGTTTAATTTGTTTTTAATTGAAGTTTACAGTCTTTATAGCTGCATGATTTTTCTTAAAGTGAAGGAATAAGTAGAGAGGAGGAAATTTAGCAGCACCATAATTAACTACTTAGGGGAAATCCTCCCATCAGATTCATGAGACAGATTTCAGATAAGCAGCTCAAATGAAGGATTATCTTGCAAGCAATGCGGAAATGTTGATCAGCTTGATATTTCCATTCTGCAGACAAGAGTTCATGCTCACTATTTTCTGCAAGGAGGTAAATCTCCACAAAGGTGGCAAGTCTGATCCAAAGGGGATTTTTTTTTAAATCCCTGCATATGACCATCATGTTCTTGTCTGTTTTCAGGCAGAAATGAGATTTGAATTTAGATGCTGCTCAGCTGACCCCTTTGAGAAGGGTTACCAGGCAGATGGATGCCCTGATGGCATGATGGATGGGTTGGAGAGCATTGCATATGTGTTAATACGGTGTCTTTACACAAACATTATCACTTGAGAGCATCACAGAATACTCAAGCATCCTGAAAATATTAAGTTGAATTAAAAATATAATCTTCTGTGGCTGATAAAATTCTCAGCATATGTTTCATGGCATTTAAAGAGAAATGGAACCCATTTAGCTAGGAGATTTAAATTTCAAGGAATAATGTCCTATCAATCATCAGGAATATTCTGAAAAAAACCTGCACAAAATTTAAACTGGAGTCTTGTCATAACAGTCTCGCATACACCAGTCTTGTCTGGTGTCTGGGCAACCAATGAAACTGAATAAGTGAGAAGCTTGCCTTTTACTGTGCATTTTTTAGTCCTTTTGCCTCATTCAAAAGCTGCTGAGATGGCTAGAACAAATTCCTTATTTCAGTTTCAGGATCTAAAAGCTATTTATTGGATGGAGATCAAGGGTCCCAACCTCATCATTCTCTACATAGTAGAAAAAGACATACACACACTTCAGTAAGTTATGCTTTGAACAAGAAAGAGAGGACCAGAAGCAAAAGGGGGGGGGGGGGGGGAGCAAAGATAATATAAAATATTTAGTATTGCTGTACTCACAGAAATAGTACCAATCTCTAAGGTTTTGTTACTTGAATATGGCATGCATATTTATTTGACAGAGTATATATAAGATATTTTATATGTCCAGTGGATATACTTTCATTTCCATTGTTTGACTTATGCAAACAGGTTACATGTTTTGCCCCCTGACAAAATAAAACATCATCCATTATGAGAAAATAAAAGGTGCTATGGCCATGCCACAGGATTTCCCCATATCTTAGGTGTCCAAGAGATAAGTAGCTATCTTTTATAATTGGCATCAGAATTCTTCAGAGAGGCAGCTGTTAATTTA